AGAAGTAAAAGAAGGGGGGGTGGGGAAGAGTCCAGTTGATTTTACACCTTCACACCCTCAGATTTCACTCGCTCACTCCCACATAATCCTAAGTACCAAGATATCATGCCCACGACTTGGTTTTGCCACAGAGGGAAACCTGTTCATCTTGTCCTCTTGAAATTTTCGGGGCTTCCAACTGCTGATCAAAAGTGAATTTCAGACAGATTTTTAGTCGGAGGGGGGGCACAAAGGGTCTGCCCCAGGGCAGGGGGCGTTTGAAAGCTCCTCTCTTGCAGAGAGCAGATACTGCTTTGGGGGAGTCTGAGCAGGATGCAATGGGAAAGGGGAAGCGAAGTGGGGGAAACTGAGGAAATCAAACAGAAACTAGCAAAAGCAACAAAAAGCAAAGCGAATTCTGCAACAGACCTGATGGGGGATGAGTCGCTGGACGTAGAGGAGGTGGGCATAGGACTTGATGGCGCGGAGAACATGGGCCAGGACGGTGAGAGGGGTGACGTTGGGCTTGGATTCTGAGGGCTGCAAGACATAACCAGATACCTTATCAACGTGCAACCACAGAAACAAACAGCAACCAAGAGACAGTCAGACGACATCCAACGATAGCAAGTGCCTTGGGAATACTCAGAGCACGAGACACAGCTACGAAATGGAGTGCCAAGACCTTGGGAAATGTTTCAAGGCCAGATGGGCACAAACTGAGGCACAGGAAGTTCCGTCTGAACATGAGGAGGAACTTCTTCTCTCTGAGGGTGACGGAGCACTGGAACAGGCTGCCCAGGGAGGCTGTGGAGTCTCCTTCTCTGGAGATATTCAAGACCCGCCTGGACGGGGTCCTGCTGGAGGTGACCCTGCTTCGGCAGGGGGTTGGACTAGATGACCCACAGAGGTCCCTTCCAACCCCTACTATTCTGTGATTCTGTGATTCTGTGATCTGCATTTCTCTGGACAACAAGAGCTGGATCTTCCAATTAACCCCCGCCTCATCACCCCGTCCCGCGAGCCCGACACCCTGCGTGTGAAGGGCTGCCTTGCTCGCTGCTGCTGGCGGCCCAGCCACTTACCTGCCTTGTTTTATTTCCCCCACTGCTGCCAGAAACAGCTGATGGTATTCAGTGAGGGTTAGTGATGCCTGCAAGCAGCCTCCATCCCCCTGTGGTATCTCAGCTGTCCCGGTGTCAGAGCCTGCGCCCTGATCCACGCTGCCCGGCCACGACCGCCTGTTTACACTGCAAACCAAACGGGTCCAGGAGGCTGGGAAGCCGGAGGGGTTTGTTATCAGGGCTGGCGTTTCCATGCTGTCATCCATCTGAAGATGAGCAGGAGGAGAAAATCTCCAGCCCACAGCACCCAGCAAGGGTGAGCGCAGCAGTGGGCTGGGCTGGGCCCCGGCGCCGGCCGGCCGCCTCGCAGGTCATGGGGACGGCTCCATCCCGGCACCCAGCGCTCCTCCCCGCTCATACCAACAGCACTACAAAACCCTCACGGGTCTGTTGTCCACGTTGGTATTGAAGAACTCTCTTCCCCCTGGTGCAACCTGCTCTTCATTCCTCGCTTCTCAGCTACTGCTGCCAGCTGAAGGTGACTCCAGTTCCTGAACTAGCAAATGCATGCCGAAGCCAAGTGAGAAGTGTTTGGTTCCTCCAAAACTGGTCTATTTAGGTCATGCTCAGGTTCACCGAGAAGCAATTACTGTACTGAAGTACAAATCTGACTCTGATTCATCTTCTGCTGTTTCCATGCTTATCAACCCATCTGTATTCTCTAATCCAGACCGTAAACTCCATCCCCGACAAAACACCAGCAGAACCTCTCCGCACCGACAACGCCTCGGGAAAGCCAAGAAGTTTCGTAAAAGCATCACAATTCATGGTTTTTTGCTGAGCGAGGGACGGTACCTCTGATCACACAGGTCTGTGTGCCTCCAGACCGAATGGCCGTTGGAGGGAGGGAAGGGGCTGCACCAGCACTAACAGCACGCCGGAGGCCGTCGCTTCACCTCCTCTCCCTCCCCTCGGGGACTTCTCCGAGGGGAACGGGATGAAGTTGCTGAGCCGCTTTCTGACAGCACCAGGGGAAGCCCTGAGGTGGAGAGAAGGGTGGCCCACATGCAGAGAGGGGCACAGCCCACCCTCTCAGCCCCAGGCTGTAAATATAACTTGTTCCAGATACCTGCCCGGGATTATAAAAACGTTTTCTAGACATGTTTAACGCAGATATCCCCTTGCCATGGCGCAGTGTGCAGTGATGTGCCTCCTTCACGCTCGAGGAGAAGCCTCCTGCGGAGCATGGCTTGGACCAGTAGCCAACTTGGAGAAAACCCCAACCTCCAAAGGGATGAAGGCACCCCCCTCCCCTCCAACGCGACCGAAACGGGCAGCACCGGCGCACAGACAGCGCGACGAAGCACGGGCAGCGGCCGGGGCAGCCTGTGCTGCCTCATTAACCTTTAATAACAAGATGAAGTCTCCATCAAAAGGGCAACGGGCTAACCCATGATCATTTAATACCTATTAGATCCCATCAGCAGAAGATCATTGTTTTAGCCCCCAGCTCCTGCTCCTTCAGCCCAGAATGAAATGTTTCCTCTATTAACACAGAAGAGAATATAACAAACACTTTTCTTCCACTTCAAGCTGACTGCAAAACCTCAACCTCTATTATTCAAAAGAGCCAACCTCCCCCAGCAACCAAGAAGGGCTCCAGAAAATATTTATGATTAATCTTGAATTTTGTGGGGTTTCTTTTTTTAATTTTCCTCCCTTCAGCTTGAGTTACAATTCAGCACCTCAAAACTACAGCGTCACTCCTGGCACACCAGCTCCCGCCAGCTCTTGCATCTGTGCAGCCAACACCCTGCAGCCTCGCTCGCCCGCACCAGGCTCACCTCGGGGTCCCTGGGCGCTTGCGAAGA